AGACAGACAGACAGACAGACAGACAGACAGACAGACAGACAGACAGACAGACAGAGACAGACAGACACACACACACACAGACAGACAGACAGACAGACACAGACAGACGGACACACAGACAGACAGACAGACACACACACACACAGGAGTTTATTTAGTCTAATTTCTTTCTCAACATGTCTATTCTTAGGTGTGATGTTTCGTCTTTTCCATCTCATGTTGCTCTGTGTGAAATGCAGCAGTGAATGGAGCTAAAATACATATATTTTCTCACTCACTCTTGAAAGCGGGATACATGGGAACGGTGTTTGTGATGAGTGAAGCCTCATATCTGGATTCAGCCGTAATGGAGAAATCTAGACATCAACAGTCATTCAACACATACATCAGATTTACCTGGAAATCATCTTGAGCCAAGACACTACAGGCAAACCATTGCTTTTTTATGCACTGGTCAATTTTGCTTCCATATGTCTCTTTTTTCAGACTAGTGGATAGAAAACACCCAAAACACACATTGAAGTGTTTATTTTATTGCTCTTTATCTATTTGCATCTGTAGATTCAATTCCATTCCTCTCTATATTCTGATGGTTTGTTCATATTTAATTCACACTGATTTATACAACATTTTACTCCTAAAAACATGGTGAAAATGTGTTTGTTTTCTGTCTGCTGACAGTATTTTCTGATTTATGGGAGTGATGAAAAAGGAAATCCAGAATATCCTCTGAAAAAACCTTTAACTCTAATATGACAACAAAATCAAATGAGAATTATGAACCAATGCTCAAATTTCTGTATGCAATCTAGTGCACATTTGCCTTTTTGCATGTTTAAACACAACATTTCATCAAACTTTGATAAAAAAAAACAATAGTCTTTATAATTAATCAGCTGAAGTATGGTGAGATCTCTTTTGAAATCAGGCATCACGGAGGCTCATTTTTGAATTCAGTGAAATATCATCTTAATTTCAGATCAGCAGATGTGTGTGTGACTGACCCGGTGGGTAGAGGAAAGCGTGTGTGACGTCTGGCTCCTGGCTGTACGAGTTACATGTGTGTGTGTGATCGAGTCGAGGGTCTGCTCTCACACACTCGCTGGACGACACGGCTGGAACCTCCACCTGCACGCACACAGACACATATGCACACACACACACACAGAGACACACACGTATGCACACACACACACACACACACGTGATGAGTATCACGCCGCGGCTCAGAGGAACACATCTGCTTGTTATCGGTCTGCGCACCTGTGCTGTGAGAGTGAACGCGCTCCACAGTGGCATGTTGATGACGTGACTGTATCCGCTGCAGTAATCCGAGTGACACAGCTGTGTGTAAGACGTCTGGAAGAGAACGGCTGGACGGCCGAACGGCAGGTGTGTGACGTCTGTACAAACACACACACACACACACGATCAAAAATATCCCACGCTCAAGAGATTCACTCAACAACAACAACAACGTTTATTTATAGAGCACATTTAAACACAACCGAGGTTGACCAAAGTGCTTTACAAAGAATAAAACACAAATGAAATAAAAATAAAAGCGAGAAAATCAACAAACAAATAAAATCAACAGAATACCGCAGGAAACATACTAAGGAGTGTTATAAGCCAGGGTAAAAAAATATGTCTTAAGATAGGATTTAAAAATACTAATAGAAGGGGCACGTCTAATAAAAGGAAAAGAGACACCATATTTTTTAAAGATAGAAGCCAAGGGGAGCAAATACATAGAAAACAACACAGGGCCCAGGATTGAACCTTGCGGAACACCACAATCAAGAGGAATGTCAGAAGAAGAGTAATGCCCTAATTGAACATTAAAACACATTTATCAAATAAGAGCGAAACCACTGTAAAAGCATACCACAAAGTCCTACACAAGACTCCAGGCATGACAGAAGAATGTTGTGGTCAACTAAATCAAATGCAGCACTTATGTCTAAGAGGACAAGAGCCATGGGTTTCCCTGAATCTGTCTTGAGAAATATGTCATTTAAGACTCTTCAGTGCTATGTAAAGCTTTAAAACCTGATTGAAAGACTTCATTAATAGAGTTATCTGTCAAGAAGGACTGTAGTTGAGCCAGTACAACTTTCTCCATTTCTCCTCTTGTCTTACTTACTGCCCTATCTAGGTGTGTAATAAACCTGGCATTGTGTATTTCAACTAGTGTTGGCTCTTTGATGAGCTGCTTTTGTAAGTCAATTTTAGATAAAACTATCTTCTAAATGCACAAATCTAAAATAATCTGTAAAAATGAATTATTATTGAGACTGAGACTTGAGATTGAGACTTATTGAGACTTTATCAGACCTCTTGAAATCCTGAGATGTACTTATTATCCCACTAAGATTGTTTTGTAATATTGTATTGTCAGTCTTTTTTTTGTATTTTATGTACATGGCCAGATCTCAGGCTTTGCTGTAAATAGTTATAAATCTAAAATGTTTAATAAATAAAGAATATATATATATATAAAAAGTATCAATTACTGAGTAACTGCACTGAAAAATTAGTGTGGAAAACGGTCTCCTTTTACCCTGATTGACTGCAGTATTCTTATAATAATGGTTTATAATTTAAGCTGTTAAGTTAGATTTTCTGGGAAAGGATACAACATGTCCATAAACAGAAATAGAGTTGCACAGAATTTAAACTAGTCATCTAACTAGCTGCTTTTAACATGTATAGTTGTAAAAGGCACCTATTGGTGTCCTGTAGGGAACCACAGACTGTCAAAAGAAAGAAATCTCAAACTGCAGAGAATCTGTGATCAAAGTGGGAAAGTGACAGAAAGCCTGTACCAAAACAAGATCCGCAGAAATACGAGATTTAATGGCTCAGATCGTATGATTTCTGATATACACTTTGTTGTGTTTTCCCTGATCACTGGTAACTAGAGAGATTCTCAAACATCAGATTCATCCAGTGCTGGAGCACAACTGACCATAACTACTGTATAAGTGACTCAATGTAGTTTTGTGTTTCAACCACAGACAGCGACAGAGAGCATGTTCAGATCCACAGTCCTTAAATAACAATACAAAGAACTTAAATTATTTATATTTTAAATGCATTGCTACTATAATTACTTCTATCTATTCTTTGCATTTGCTGTGAGTTTAAAAGCCTTACTCTCTCCCTCTTCTCTCTATATAAGTTTTAGTATTTTTTGTTGCGTTTTTGTCCGTTTAAAACATGTCTATTGTTTATATTCATTTTATTTTTTATTTTAGATAGATACATGCCCCTCCTTCATCAACTCTAACAGCTGACGACTTTGCCACATTCTTCATTAATAAAATTACAAACCTCAGTGCACAATTTTCCACACCACAAACTGTCAAACACATCTTACCAGCAAACATACACTCGTTTTCATCCTTTTCTCCACTCTCTGAGGCAGAAGTCTCTAAACTCATCCTTTCCAATAAAAAAATAAACATGCATAGATACATATCCGGTACTTAAAAGTTTAGATAATTTCGTGTTGTTTTTTTTTGTCCTTTTTATTCGTTTTTTTAAAGTCTATATAGCTTTATAAACTTTTATTTATTAGTTTTATTTTATTTAGTACAAGATAAACTAAACAAAGGCAACTATCTGAAATAAATGTTAAGCTTTTTTATTTTATTTTATGTTATTTTATTTCAGTTAACTTATTTTCTTTCAAGTAACAAATTTTTTTTCTTGGTTTTGGTTTTAGTTAACTATAATAATAATATAATAATGGGGAAAGTTACTTTTAAAAGTAATGCATTACAATGTTGCGTTACTCCCTAAAAAAAGTAACTAATTATGTTACTTAGTTACTTTTTATAGAAAGTAATTACTTTTGAGTTACTTTGCAAATCTGGGCAGGGCTTGCTTGTTTGTTTTTAATATAAAAAAGTTCTTCTTTTACAAATGTAAAAGCCCTTTCACACCAAAAGTGAACTGAATACGCCTCAGGCTGAAGGAAATGTAAATTCACGTCTGTACAGTAGAGGGCGCAGCTTAAACAAATCACATGAAGAATATGATGCAAGAGAAGAAAGTCCAGCAATCAGCAATTCAGCAATAAAAAAAATTAAACACAAGTGTGCCATTTTTGCTTATTATTACGGTTGAATTGGATCATTGAAGGTCAGCAGCAATTTTAACATATTCAATTATTGCAGGTTTGTATAATATTCTAAGTTTGTATTTGACTGTTTTTATTGATTTTGAGGAACACTGAATCTGTTTTTGAGTAAACACATGTTGATATTTAGTCTAGAACTACAGTAAGATCATGTTCACACACAACGCTCTGCACTCACTCCTGATTTCTGTCACCATGGCAACACCAGAGCTGTCACTCAACACATGAGAAACAAAGTAACTGGCGTTACGTATTTGAAAAAGTATCTCAGACATTTCCTTGTCATTTAAAAGCAATGCATAACTTCACTAGTTACTTAGGGAAAGTAATCTGATTACGTAACTCACGTTACTTGTAGGGCCAGATTTACTAACAGCTTGCGCCAGCGCAAACCGTCTTTTGGTGTTATGCTCTTTTGTTAGTTTTGACTGCTTTTATTGTCCTCATTTGTAAGTCGCTTTGGATAAAAGTGTCTGCTAAATGACAAAATAAATAAAAAAATAAACATGCATAGATACATATCCGGTACTTAAAAGTTTAGATAATTTCGTGTTGTTTTTTTTTGTCCTTTTTATTCGTTTTTTTAAAGTCTATATAGCTTTATAAACTTTTATTTATTAGTTTTATTTTATTTAGTACAAGATAAACTAAACAAAGGCAACTATCTGAAATAAATGTTAAGCTTTTTTATTTTATTTTATGTTATTTTATTTCAGTTAACTTATTTTCTTTCAAGTAACAAATTTTTTTTCTTGGTTTTGGTTTTAGTTAACTATAATAATAATATAATAATGGGGAAAGTTACTTTTAAAAGTAATGCATTACAATGTTGCGTTACTCCCTAAAAAAAGTAACTAATTATGTTACTTAGTTACTTTTTATAGAAAGTAATTACTTTTGAGTTACTTTGCAAATCTGGGCAGGGCTTGCTTGTTTGTTTTTAATATAAAAAAGTTCTTCTTTTACAAATGTAAAAGCCCTTTCACACCAAAAGTGAACTGAATACGCCTCAGGCTGAAGGAAATGTAAATTCACGTCTGTACAGTAGAGGGCGCAGCTTAAACAAATCACATGAAGAATATGATGCAAGAGAAGAAAGTCCAGCAATCAGCAATTCAGCAATAAAAAAAATTAAACACAAGTGTGCCATTTTTGCTTATTATTACGGTTGAATTGGATCATTGAAGGTCAGCAGCAATTTTAACATATTCAATTATTGCAGGTTTGTATAATATTCTAAGTTTGTATTTGACTGTTTTTATTGATTTTGAGGAACACTGAATCTGTTTTTGAGTAAACACATGTTGATATTTAGTCTAGAACTACAGTAAGATCATGTTCACACACAACGCTCTGCACTCACTCCTGATTTCTGTCACCATGGCAACACCAGAGCTGTCACTCAACACATGGAAACAAAGTAACTGCTGTTACTTATTTGAAAAAGTAACTCAGATATTCCCTTCTAAATTAAAAAGTAATGAATTACTTTACTAGTTACTTGGGAAAAGTAATCTGATTATGTAACTCACGTTACTAGTAATACGTTTCCCCCCCCAACACATACATATTTTTGGTTATATTATATTGCACACACACACACACACACACACACACACTTCCTCCCTGTTTCATCACATGACCTGATACTGAAGGATATGAACATGAATGTGAAAGTGAAACGGATCTTAACTGTTCAACAGTCCGTCGGCAGCGGAAGGAAACCTCTGGGAACTTTCTTCAATGTTGTTCTGTGAATGAGAAGAGACTCAATCCACTGACCTGTAGAGAACACGCATGTGTGTGTGTGAGTGTTGCTGACCTCATCGTCACAGTTACAGCCCAGGTCATGGGTCACCTCAGAGGGCGGGGCTAAAGGCGTGGGTGATGTCACTTCCTCTGGCTGTGTGGGGGTGTAGGGGGGGCTCCTCAAGACGCTGTTTAGACTGCCGTGAGTCCCGTTATTAAGAGCCGGAGTCAAACCCAGCAGATCTACACACACACACACACACACACACACACACAGACGCTGCATTAATCTGTCATGATTCTCATAATCTAAGAATACTAATAAACCCAGCGGGATCTTCTCACCACACATGACATTATACAGCTCAATGTTCTCAAAAACAGGCACTTCTGTCTTGAAATTGAAGCTCGGTCCAAATCCCAAAAAGATCGTCTGCGAGAAACAGGATAGGTTACTGTACTGATTGATTGATTGATTGATTGATTGATAGACTGATTTACCTGCATGCTGCTGATCTTGTTGTCAAAGCCATGATCTCCAAAGAAGCCGCAGGTAGCCGGAGATCTGCTCTCACACACAACACACATCAAATCTTACTCTCAACTAAAATGGGTTTTTGTGAAGAATTCTTCAGAAGAACAACAGTGAGCTCCGGTCAGATGGGATGTTGTCAGGCCATATGCCTGTGAGCCGTTATCCTGCGCTAGTAGCGTACGCTCTTCAATTGCACACACAAATACGGCGGCGTGCGCTGTAACCTGTATCATTTCATATTAAAGCACGAATGAAACTACAAGCATGTGTTAGATCCGCGTCATGTTCAGCAGCGGCAGCTCTTAAAGTAATGGCAGCCAAATAACCTAATAACCAGCTGCTGTGATGTCTGTACATCAAAGAACAAAAGACAACAGAGGAAATCAATAACTTTTGTAGCTTTAAGGATTCATCTATATTTCATTTAGAATTCAGTGTTTTATAACTTTATTCTATTTCTGTATATCTCCTACTCGCTGAAGGGCACAGGTAGCTAAATATGACATTTATTATAATGGGTTTATGTGAAGATTATTTTAAGTTCACTAAAATTTGAAGTTATTTAAGTTATATAAGTCTAATAAATGTTAAAGTTGATAGATCTCAATTATACTGTAATGTTGAATGTCTATAGTCAATGGTTAACTATTAGGAAAAAAATAATTTCTGATTGGGCATCTTACACTGGAAACAGGTCGAAGGTCACATGCAGCACGGTGTACAAACACAACACTGATTCTGCCAGGAGGATGGGACTGATGGACTTACTGTTAAATTAGATACAATCTCCTTTGGATCATCTGAAACAAAGAAATGAGGCAAAAAATTCAACTGTGAAGGTTTCAGAAGTAAACATCTGTTTCTCTGAAATCTATGTTTTTAGACTTAGTGTATATGCAGGGTGTGTACTATTTCATTACCACACTGATAATGAAAGAATTTATACTTTAATAGAATACTACTGAAACTAAATTTTTGTGCTCAATTACAGTTTCAAGGAAAAACACAGTTTACCATGTACTTTATTTGAATGAAAACAGCCAATGAATTCTATTTTGATGTAAAATAGATATTTTGATATAAAATAAAAGTCCAGAAAATTCATAAAGTGATCATATGTAAACACTGAATGCAATGTAAGTTGCTTTGGATAAAAGTGTCTGCCAAATGCATGAATATATAAATTTAACATAGAAAACTGACCATAACTTTGATCATTAGACTTTGTAAACAGAAGATTCATTAGTTAATTTAACACATCTTTGACCTAAATTACAACCATTATAAATTACAACCACCTATTTAATTCTAACCATTGCCAGACAAATTTTAGTCATATTCAAATGATATATAGTGATAATGTAAATATATATACTGATGGTGAACTTAAGGTTTAATAGCTTCAGGTGACCTCTGGTGTATCATAAAAGACGAACTACAAATCATGCTATTCTTTAAGTTTAAAATTGTTTTTAAGTTATAAGTTCATACAGTAAGTTGCATACATGTGAAAATTGTAACTTTAATGTTCCACAATTTCAGTTTAAATTGCTTTAAGAAGAAACGTCTCGGTTACGTACGTAACCCTCGTTCCCTGATGGAGGGAATGGAGACGTTATGTCGTGACGACATAGGGGGTTTACTTGAGAGCCCCAATCTGCTCTGACTTTAAGAGAAAAAGCCAATGAAATTTGGCTAGTGGATTTTGCATACCTGAGCCACTCCCCGTGCATACGGGTATAAATAGGCGACAAGTGCATCCACTCATTCAGGTTTTACGCTGAGGAGCCGAGAACGTGTCCCTGGCAACCAGCGATGGTTTGAGGTTGTAGCATGGGGACATAACATCTCCGTTCCCTCCATCAGGGAACCTATCTGTCAGTCACTATGAGTTATGTCGTGATGACATAGGGGGTCCTTGGAAAGCACCACAATCAGAACCCCGTCACAACCTTGTAGCGCTGCAAATGTTGACAAGCAGCTGCATGCCAGACAAGTGCTACGCAAGGGTCATAACCTTCCCAACGCCCCAGTGCAAATTCGCTGGCCTTGGTGCCCGCAGTTTACAGCTTGGCAGTAACGATGGGGAAGCGAGCCTTCCGGAGAAGGGCGCTACGGAGAACACATCCTGCCCGTAGGGAGGTATCATGTGGAGACACTGATATGGACTGACCCAGGCCTGAGGCAGTACTACATATGGAATGGGTCTCGGAGGCAGGTCCTACCTAGGAGTAGGGAGGAACGGCTGCCAGCAGAGACTGCTGCAGAGACAGAGAAAAATGTTTAAATGGCCTTGCTCCCCCTTACCTCTCCGACCTGTTGTGTGAATATCATCTGGAAAGAACTCTTAGGTCTGCCAACCAGAGTTTGTTACCTGTTCCAAAGTCAAAATTAAAATCTAAGGTTGATCGAGCTTTTGCCATAGCCGCACCGAAACTTTGGAACACGTTACCAATCCATATTAGAACTGCACCAACAATACTTATTTTTAAATCAAAGTTAAAAACGTATCTCTTCACTATGGCCTATGACTTGTGATGTTGTTTGTCTGATGTTGGCTTGGTTTGTATACATGTTTTTATAAGTCTTTTACAACATTGTACAGCACATTGTTCAACTGTAGTTGTTTTTAACTGTGCTTTATAAATAAATTGAGACTTGAGACTTGAGACTGACAGAGTGGTCTGTCAAAGGGAAGACACACGGGTTCAGGGAATCAAGCCATATGGACACCTAGCCCAGTAAAGGGGCTGACCAGAAACCTGGGCAAGCTAACACCGATACTGGGCCTGGCGTCAGACTGTTCCACCCAGTCTGACTGCCGGGGGATGCTGGAGGATACTCAACCAGGGTTCGCCGTCCAGGGAACTTACTGGAGGAGGAAAAGGCGCTTGCATCCCCGGGTGAGGGGGGATGGCGCAGCAAGCGTGACACCGGCTGGCTCTTCCCGCCACTTACCTGTTACCGAACACACGGGAAGAAACCGGCTCAACTCAAAATCACGCAAAGGTGTTCGGTGTCGCCCAGCCCGCAGCTCTATAGATGTCTGCCAGAGAGGCGCCATGCGCCAGCGCATAGGAGGAGGCAACACTCCGTGTGGAGTGAGCCCTCACCCCCAGGAGGCACGGCTCGCCTTGGGATTGGTAGGCCAAGGCGATGGCATCCACTATTCAGTGGGCCAACCTCTGCTTGGAGACAGCCTTCCCTTTCTGCTGACCTCCGTAGCAGACATAGAGCTGCTCAGAGCTTCTGAAGCTCTGGGTGCGGTCCACGTATATGCGCAACACTCTTACGGGACACAGCAACGCCAAGGCTGGATCTGCCTCCTCCGAGGGCAGTGCTTGCAGGTTCACCACCTGGTCGCGAAAGGGCGTGGTGGGAACCTTGGGCACGTATCCAGGCCGGGGTCTCAGGACAACGTGAGAGTAGGACGGCCCGAACACAAGGCACTCTTCGCTTGGAGGTCCCCGACCCTCTTGATGGAAGCGAGCACGGTCAGGACACGGGGGGACAGCCCAAATGGGAGGACCCTGTACTGCCATGTCCGACCCTCGAGCACAAACCGTAGG